AATTTAGGGGGAGAGAAAGAAGATGGTACCATTGGATAATAATTTCAAGTAATTATTTTTGTTACTTTGATGCAAAGCTCATTCATTTCCATGTGTTGAAGGAGTGTTGTCAATGCCCTCTAAATTTCAGCACTCTGGGTCAAAGTCCCAGGGGTCCTACCCTGGTTTCTGTTTTGCAATAACTAGATTGCAAACCCTTCCATGTCAAGGACTGGGCCTCCTACTTTTTGGTGTACCCAGGTGCCTACTATTGTGCCTTCCACGTAGTAGGTGTTCGATAACCCCTTGATGCCAGGGATCACCACCCATCTTACTGTCACACCTGTGAGTTCAAAGATAGGTAGTGGTCTTTAGATGCTCACAAAGTTACTCAAATCTCATCTTGTGCCCTCCAAAGACCGATCAGCTCATCCAAACCTGAAATCTAATCCTACCTTGGCCTTGGAGTGAAGTTTTTGAAAAGTCCTTGGTCAGAATGCTTTGCCCTGTACACAAAGGCCGAGCAAGACTGGCCAAAGGCACTCCCACCCACCTGTTGGAGTGTCAATACCAAAATATAATTGCCTTAGGATTCTATCTGCTGGAGCAAGCACTCTTTAAATCAAACAAATTCTGTGCCTGGCTGGTTGAGCCCTTCCATACCTATTAATGAAGCATCATTGGAAACAGCAAGACATTGTGCCCAGGATGGAAGGCACTCATAGGCCACCTCTTCCCATGCCAATGAATGATTAACTTAATGATTTTCAGCAGCTGTTCCTTATAATTACAGCCCAGAGGAAGCAGAAGTCTCTAATCCTAGAGCCTGGTATCAAGAGGAGACACAAAAGTGGTTTGAAATCCTGTTCTTCCTCCCAGCCAATGGTAGGACTTGTTTCTAAGTCTGGATTAGCAGTAACATTCAGATGCCAATAACCCCTTTTGACAGTTGACCTCTGAGGGTGTCCTCTCCTTTTATATCCCAGCTGTGTTTGCTTTTCTGGTCTTGGACAGATATTGTCTGAAATGTTACATTTGAAAAAATAAGAAGAAACAAATCCTGAAACAACCGTGGGATGCATCCCTTTTAAACAATTTAGCCATGCTCTTTGTGACCCCCACCTGCAAGTCTGTTGGCTTACAATGTAGCATCACAAATATGTGATTTATCACTGGGAAGAACCTCCTGCTTCTGTTGAGTTGTTTCATTAGGTGATGCCTTTCATATTTCTCTTGATCTTTAGGGTAGCAAAGAAACATTCTGGTATGATGGATAGAAACTATGGGAAAGAGCAAGGTCTAGGTCTTTTTTTTTTTTTTTTAAACGTGTGAGGAATTGCCCCAGTGTGATTTAATGGATAGAGAGCTGGCCTTGAAGACCTGGATTGAAGCCCTGTTTATAGTGCATGCTAGTCATGTGACCCTGGGCAAGTTATTTAACCTTAACTGCTCCAAGCAAATCTGTAATATTATGCAGATCTGTACCTATGAAATTACAAGTCCATACCAGCCCTGTCTCCCCTACACACCCCAATTAGGATAAATTAGTAACATTTATGGGATGATGTGTTCAAGAATCCTTTAGGATGAGAAGACATAAATAAATTGTGATCTAGAAAATGGGTGGTGGGGGTGCACATATGATCATTCAGGCAGCTTGATGCAGTGGGTAAAGTGCCCAATTATGAGTCAGAGGACTTGGGTTCAAACTCTGACACCATCCTCTGGATGACCTTTAGCAGGTCATGGAACCTCTGGGCCTCTGTTTCTTCATCTGTAGTATTGGACTAGATCAGATGGGGCCCACAGTCCCAGGTGTGACTAGGATCAGATTAAAATGTAATGGTAAATTTTTAATAAGATCAATTAAAATACAAAATAAACATAGGTAATATCACATTTTAAAACTGTCTATATATATATATATATATATATATATATATATATATATATATATAT